TCTGAGAAGAACTTGAGGGAGACTGCCCCCACGATTCTAGCGAGGTGGAAGAGTAGCTCCGAACCAAGGAAGCTAGCCGAAGTGGTGAAGAAGAGAGAGGTCTCGACGAGTCTGGCAACGGAAGAAGATTTCAAACCTCAGAAGGCAGGCTCGAAAAAGGGTTCGACGAATAGACAAACATGGGAAGTGGATGCTGGCAAAGAATGGATCTCAAGCGAACATCAGGCTATTGGCATACAAGTAACCCCTCTTGAGAAGAATGCGACAAGGAATACGGCTCGACTATGGCGGGAAGCCCTAGAGACGATGAAGGAATTGGAGGACTGTCTGAAGAAGCTCGATCGTGGGATGTCCCGCGACCGTCGTAATTGAGCTACTCAACAAAACGCCGAGGTCAACAAGTTGGAATTTGGAACTCAGCTAAAGCGGATTCGGCAGAGCTTGCTGCGGGATTACTTTGAGTAGGCGATGAGAACACCTTCGTCCGCATTGCCTCTGATGGCAAATCCCTTCGTTAGAACAGCGTCACAGCTGATGTTCGCGTGGAGCCTAGTGGGAATAGAATTGGAGGTATTGACTTCACATGATAAATTGAAATTGGGCAACGAAAGCCTAGAAGTCTACCAGATGCTGGTACAGAATGTCGCGAGGTAAAATTCCGGTTTGAGTCTGGCGAGAAGAAAAGATGCCACTTGTTTTTTGAGGTGGATAATATCCGTAATGACTAATAGTACCGTCCAAGCGTGTCATCAGAAGGCCATGGGGAGCAAAACCATGGAGAGAAGAGTCTCCACCGTAATTCTGAATCTATACCAGAGTACGGGGATCGAGAAGGAAGATGACTCGAGGCAATCCATAGAGAATCATGGGAAACTTGATGAAATACGAAGATTCCACAACAAGAAATTTGAAGAGGGGCTTGATGTGCATCGTAACTTGGCCTTGGCTGAAGATTACTCGAGACCCAACAAACGGGGAGAGTACCAATATGTGTCTGGAGTGATGGGGATAGCGTACAACCCTTTCTTGAATTCAGAGGACGGGAGCGCACACAGGAATCACGAGGTGACGGAGCTATTGAAGCTTTGGACAGAGAAGATGATCGTAATTGATTCAATGGAGAGGGAGAAACCGAGCCTAGGCCTGCTACTTGAGACGACACCCAAGATGATAAGCGTACCGCGCTCGAGCAAGACAGTGGAATTGAGAATGGGGAATGGAAATGGCATGATGACTACGAATTTGGGAACGGTTTGGAAATTGCTGAGACCCTCCTGGTGTCCACATCCCCATGCAAGCTTGATTGAGGAAGTCACAGAACGAGTGAGGCTAAACCAACAAAAGATGAGGACCTAGGAACTTTGGACGTGATACACAAATTGATCCTACCACAGAGTAAACAGTAGGGCGAAGCAACGAGTAAGCTAGGATCAGTAAAGAAGATGGAACCTGGCAGCTGTCTTGACTTGACGTGCGGAGGTGGAGAGCATACCTTTGATGGATGATCATGTGTCAGAATACAATCTTTCCAGAGAGAAGACCTAGTCGCTTGGTTTGGCGACATAACAGAAAGGGAGAAGAGCGAGGTGCAGATAGTGGCTGAGTGCTATACGAACACTACAGTGAATATAGCAGGGGCGCTGGGGTTCTTCTCTAGAATGTGTAGTCTGCAATCACTTGAGATGCTGGAGTCTGAACACCATTTGGAGACTGCGTTAAGCGTGGAGTCGTGGCCGGGGTCGTTGCAAACCACCCAGAAAAATATCAGAGGGTGGAAGATTGGTCTAGAGGCGGAGATGGGATTTCCCGTGAGCAAAGCTTATGGTCTCCCTGTAAATGCAAAATCCTTGGTGGGATCAGAAATGGCCAACCTATGTGGGAGCCACTATCCATTGCACATGGCAATGGTGGAGGTGTCCAGCCAAAGCATACTAGTGGACAGGGCCTTCTCGATACCCAAGTGCGTACGACTGGCTCGGATGTCGCATCATTCACATAGGTTGTTGAGGAAGATCCTGGGAACGGTGCCAAGGGCACAAAGAGATGACTTGAGTGAAATCTGCAGGGAAGAACTCTTGGGCTTAGAAGGCGGAAACACGAGTGATTTCGAGAGACAGAATGCCATCGGGAAGCCGATGAATAGTGTCCACGTGCAGGAGGAAAATGATATGACGCACGAGAAAATTATGGAACTAGAGCCTCTGCTGGAAGCCTCGGGAGAACGCAATCTCCGAAGCATAGAAATTACACATGGGGAATGCCCATTCCATTGCTTGGCACAGACAGTGTGGTACCTGGAGCACTCAAACCTCTGTTTAGTGTGGGATGTGGAAGAAATTCGGTCAATCAGATTACCCGATCACCAGCAGAAGGTGACCATCTTGGTTGTAAGTACGATGTTCGCGTTGCGATTGATTGAGGAGAAGGTGACAAAATATAGGGAGTCGAAGACACCAACGGCGGAATCGATATACGCTATCGATTATAGCAGAAGACATGAGTTGTTTGAGACGGCATGCAAGGTATTCATCATACCCATGAAGATCAGGCACGTATGGAGCCGCGTGAGATTCTTCCCATGGTTTCGAGTGACGTTAACATCTTGGTTGTATATGATGACGTAAGACCACAAGAAAAAACATAGTAAAGAATATCGGCAGTTCCTGGCAGAGATAGGACCAGAAGCCTTCAAGAGACCTCTGTTCACCCATCGAAATGCGATCACTACAGGTTGGAAAAGAGTCGGTAGGCTGTCTAGAGACAATATCAAAGCGAGAGAGTCGATACTGGAGGAGGACTTGGTGAAGAACGTGAGCTTGAGCCTGCACAATTCCTTTTGATTGAACAGGGAATAGAAAGTGAAAGGTTAACCAAATCAGGCAAAGAGGTTGCAGGAGCAGAGGGAGTGGATGCGATCCTTCGAGCAACTGAAAGCGTGGGAAGAGATCGTGATCAGCTCTGATGATGAGGAAGCGCTGCTAAGGCAGATTACGGTGTCAAACTCATCGGGGCCTAGCACCTCGAAGGCTAGGAATACGAAGCGAGCAGGGAGCTCAATGTGCGTTTCTTGAGTCTTGAGAGGGAAAAAAAGGTGCTCGAAAAAAAATCCGAGGTCACGAAAAAATTTTTTAAACAAAACAAAGTATTGTTATTAATATGCTATGATTATTATTTAAATCAAAATGTTGCAAGACAATTAACCGATTGGATAGGACAAAAGAAATTTTAATCATTAGCTTCGAAAGCTGAGATTTATCGTGCAGGTATTAGACAATTTTGATTGCTGTTCAGCGATAGCGTGACAATTTTATATGGTTGTGAATTTTGGGTTGTAGATAAAATTGAAATCTGCTGCAAACTTCTGTAAATGACCACTGGCACTGTATCTTGAGCATCACTAAGTATTCTGGGGACTCACTGGCAGGCGGCAACACGCGATGAGGACATCGATCACGAGTCCGGGGAGTATGTGCCAGTCGGTCATATTTGGAAGTTTGACCTTGAGGAATACGAACTACGTAATTTTGGGATGAAATGTAATTTTTCAAAAATTCGAATTGAGCCTGTCATGCTCAACTTTCTCGCAAAAACTGAAAATCCCAAAAATAAAAGATCAGAACAACCGAAATGCAATCGCGGGAAAGTACTTGAAAAAAGCAGCGGAAAATTGCTATGCGCAATTTCCAGATATAAATCAAACGCGAGTAGAGCTGTCCTATCCTGAATAGGAAGCAGAGCGATTGTAAACAGAGAAAAGACAAAGAAGAAGGTAATCAGAGTGAACCCTCAGTGGAAAGGTGGATACTCTCATCAGAGTCAAGTTTAGTTTTCTCCAAGATCTCCCTGGCCATTTGAGTGTTCGTTTCTATGTTTGCCCTTTCAATTTCATCAAAATTTTTGCCAATGTTTTATTCAGGTTGTCATATGAGCTACCAGCTACAGAAAGGACGGGACGAAGTGGTCTGCCTTGTTTGTGTACTTTTGCTAATCCAAACAGCCTAGCCGGCTGGGCCCCTGTTGATTTCACCATAGTATACAGCGCTTCTCTCATCTCGTCCTTTTTCATGAAGAGTAATTCATTGCTTATGACTTTTTCAATTTTCAAGATCATGCTGTTGGTCAGATTCTTCCTCTCACTAAATTGTTCTGCCTGTAATAAATCTTTCAGATTCTTCTCATATGTCTCCTTTTCCATTACACAAAAACCCACGCCCTTATCAAACGGCACTGCCAGAAGACCGTTGTCCTTCAATAACTTTCTGGCTTTTTCAACACCTTTGTCGGAGGGGAACTGTTTCACGATCTGAGCATGTCTCTTCCCAGCTGCTTGAATCTCACATAGTTTTTATCCGGGTAATCTTGTTAACTTTAGTTCAGACAAAATGCTATCAGTGTCAGCAAGGAAGTGAATTTCATTGAATTTGTCTCGTACCGGATTTTTTGGTCCAAAGCTTTAGACTTCCCGCACCCAAAGCAGCAAAATCACTTCATCTGAAATTCTAACTGATCTTTCGTCCAAGTTTTTTCTTGTGTCGGCTTATCAATTTATTGACACTATACTTTGCTTGCAGGTTCAGATAGAATATTACCGAAGGCCACCATTTCTCATCGATACCCATTCTCACTTCCTCCCTTGCCTTTGCTAGGTTACCCGATGCCTTGGCCCTATCCGCATTTGATTGGCTTATCTCAGATCTCAAGAGTCTCAGTTGAAAGCTGTGCACCGCTTGATCCGAAAAAACACCCGTTATCAGGCACGCGAAACCGTAACAAATCCGGTATAATGTCGTTGTCGAGACATTTCACGAATTTAATTCTCAGGAAACTGCTATTAAATTTAAAATGTTTGAAATAATCTAGTACAAGTTTTCAAGTGAGTTTTTTTTCAGGGCCAATCTAAGGAGGTGGCAGCAAAATTGCGGTCATCTCTTCTTTGCAGGCCACGAGCACTTAAATTCAAGTTTATTTTTTCGTTAACGAATGTTTATAGTCATATTAAGCCAATTTTTGAGTGACGGGGGGTTTAATAAAAAGCCATTGTTGAAATTTTGTAGTCTCCAACTTGAAGTGATCGCGCTTTAATGTTTAAAGATTGTGAGCATGGTCTCTGAATCTTCTATGATTTTGTTGTCATTTGAAGGGCGAGGCAAAAAACTAGATTCTGCAGAAGATGCACAAGAGTTTTTTGAAGCAATTGTCACCAGCGGAGAAATTGAAGTGCTCCAATTGAATGGAAATACAGTAGGAGTGGATGCTGCTTATGTACTGAAAAATGCGCTGACCAAAAAGTCGAGCTTAAAGCGTCTCATATGGCATGATATTTTCACTGGAAGATCGCGTGAAGAGTTGCCACCATCTCTACAAGCAATGAATGAGGGTGTGATGCAATCAGGTGCCCAATTAGTTGAGATAAACTTAAGTGACAATGCTTTCGGCCCAGCTGGTGTTGAGGGAATCAAAGATATACTCGCTGACAGGTCCTGTTTTACACTTAAAGAGCTTAGGTTGAATAATAATGGACTCGGAACTTTCGGAGCTGAAGCTTTGGCCAATGCCCTTATTGAAGGTCATACCAACAGTCTTCAGAACGCTGATGAACCCATGCATCTTGAAATTTTCATTGCCGGGCGAAATCGTCTTGAAAATCCGGGCTGTACTAACATGGCCAAAGTTTTTGACATGATGCGATCACTTGTGCAAATTGAAATCCCACAGAATGGAATTCAAGCTCCCGGCATATCGGCTCTGGCCGAGTCCTTGCAATATAATACCAAACTGAAAATCTTAAACTTAAACGACAATATTGTTACCGAAAAAGGCGCAATTCCTTTGATAGAAGGTTTGAAGAATTTGAGAAACTTGGAAGTGATAAATTTAGGAGATTGTATCATTCGCAATGAAGGCGCCCTTAAAGTAGCGCAAGTGGCAGAGCACAGCTGGCCTGTGCTTAAAACTCTAGTTTTGTCTTATTGTGAAATCGAAGCTTCAGGAGGGGTGGCTCTGGCAAGCTCACTGAAAAACAAAGGCTGCCTTGAATTATTAGATCTGAACGGAAACTGTTTTGGGAATCAAGGAATTGATGAAATAAGACAAACGTTTTTCCAGCCAGGTCAGCATAATGAAAGCGTACTCGGAAGTTTTGAAGACGATCAAGGCGAACCGGAATACGATGAGGTATATGCAAATGACAACGAAAGTCAAGACAAATTCATCACTGATGAGAATACTTTGAAGAGGTTCTTAGATTGCCCAAAGTAAGTTATTCTACTGCTTTCCTCAATTTTTCCCGTTAAAATTTTTTGTTGCTTTTTTTGCATAAATTTTGAAGGGAGTGGGAGAAGAGAAGAGAGAATCGTTTCAAGGAACAAAGTTCTAGCATACATATGCTTAACCGTTCAGCATTTTTTTATGTGGGTGGCAATTTATTAAGTACCATGGGGTTAGTTTAAAAAATCCGCTTTTTAAAATACTATATTTACGGTTGCGATTAGCAAGCGTTAACTAGTCGGAGTGTAGACTTTTTTCGGGCTGAAAACTAGTTTAACAAAATCAGTTGAATCACTTATGGGTGGGACTAAGATAGTTCTTTCTAACTGCTGGATGAGTGCTAGTTACTACAGGGTAGTTTCAAGGGGACTTGCAGCTATTTAAAGTTTTTTTATACAAAATCACACCTTCGAGTTATTTTTTCAAGTTTCAAGTAATTTTTTCAAGTTTCAACTTAATTTTTTCAAGTAATTTCTTTAACTTAATCTAGTTTCCTTTATCTAGTAGTGCAATGTGCTTTTAGCATCCCAATTGCTTACGCTTGCGATGAGCAAGCGTTATCAAGCTGGAATATAGACTATATTTTTAAATAAAACTACTGGCTGAGTACTAGTTACTACATGGTAGTTTTAGGGGGACTTGAAAGTTTTAAAAAGTTTTTCAACAGTAAGATTTTTTTCCTGCTCAACTTGTGTCTGCTCAAAGATTGTCGGCCTTGTTTCCGCTTCGTAAGGATTTTCCAGTTAATCATTTGAATATCAATTGTCTTGCTTTGTTTCCCTGGAATTCCTGTTGGATAAAAATAGGTATTATAAAAGTGTATAAGAGTTTTTTATTTCATTTTTTTGAGACGCTTCGGAAAATTTTAATAATTTTTGCAAATTATTTTTTTTTCTCAAAAACCTTTTTTCCTCATTTCAAAAAATAGTGGTTTAAATAGAAAGACAGCCTACAATGTTGTGTGTCTGTATACTCCCCTGGTCCCTTTTTGCTTAACCGCTTTGTCTACAGCCTTCGCAAACATCTGTCTACAGCCTTCATAAACGAATTTTTAGATATCTTGAAAACTAACCTACCAAATCTGATTTTTAGTTTTCAATGAATAGAATGGAGTCTAAGAGCTTCCCTCAAAAAGCGGTTATGCCTAAACTTTTTGCACTCAAGTTAATGGCCCTCAGAATAGTCAAGTTTTTGATTTTTTTTACCGTTTTTTAAATATTTTTCACAAAAACCAACTTCCTGAGGTTGTTAGTTCAATACAGATAACGGGTAGTAGGAAGCTTCCCTAATTTAGCGGTGCTACACACGTTTTTCTCGCAAAAAGTTGTCGTCCTCGGAAAAGTCAATTTTGTTGAATTTAACTAATAAAATACCCTTTTATATATGAGATTTTGGTTGCAACCCACAGAAAGTTTTTTGGTAAGCTCCTATGCATATGCGACTACGCCCAAGTTTTTATTATGGCCCTCGAAAAATTATGGCCCTCGAAAAAGTTTTTCAAAGTTTTATTGGAACTTTGATTTTTCTCGAGAACTAACCGGCCAAACCTAGATTTTTAGGTTCAATCGAAATAACGGATTAGTTGAATCTCTTCTACATCAGCGGCGACCCCCACTTTTCTAAATGAAAAGTTATGATTCTCGGAAATGTGAACTCTCTGATTTGTTGACTGTTTTCTGGTCTTTTCTCGATAACTATCCTGCTGCCAGAACTGATATCATAGGTTTTTTGGACCCAACAGGTTGCTGGAAGCTTAATTTTAAAAGTTGGTGGGCCCAGTTTCTTTTAAAGGATTTAAACAAGTAAAAGTTTTGATAAATGGACCGTTTTGTGGAATTTTTTTTTACTCGACTTGAAAATTACTTGCCAATTGCCTGCTAAGAAAAAAGATCACAGCCTAGTTTATGTAACTCCAAAAAGCTATTCTTGAAAAAGGTAAACCTTACCTTTTTTCAGTGCCTTAGAACGTCTAACCCTCTATGGTAGTTCAGGCTCTTATATAGGTCGCGATGATTTTTCTTTAAGTTTGTTCAGGCTCAAATTTACTTTTTGCAGTTTGGCTTTTGATTTTTGTGGAAGTGCATTTTTTTTAGTTTGTTACAAGAAGGCAAAATCCACTATCGAACAGCAGAGTAAAGTTGACAAAAAAACGTGTTACGAAATGGATTTTTGATTAATAGTCCAGAATTTTCGAATTGGGTGAACTTTATCAATACAATGTTAGTCATCTATTTTTTTTATTGGAAATTCAAAAGTTTCTTTTTTTGGTAATTTTTTCTGTTTTTTGAAGTTCATTGACTTTTTCGAACTGTCTGTTGGCTATGTTCTCAACTTGATTGGGCGTGATGAAAGTATTAGTAGTATTGATTAAAAGGCCCATTTTTGAAACTGAAAAAGAATTAAAATGATCAATTGAGACGCACGTCCTTAGTTTAAACTTATGATATTGAACTGTTAAGGAAACTTTAAAGTAATTAAGTTCTAGTTTTCACCCGTTTTCCTTTTTTCCGGGAACCTGGGTAAAATTGGAAAAGTCCTAAGTATCATCACAATTATATGCACATACATGCAAAGTTTCACTGTGACACCCCTAAAGTGGTGTCATTAATAGTCATGATATTCCAATGATCATTTCATGCTATATTTAGTTGCTTATTTTAAGTTGTTCAAGTTATGAGACCGAATGAATTATTGTTTACTTAATGTAAATAATATGAACAAATGAGCCGGAGAGAGATTATTAGAGAGAGACAAAACAGTCGGGAGTGAAAATTATAAAGCTCTATACTGACCTAAATTTATTCTCTGAGTCAAGGTGAGGAAAGGTTGAAGACACTGTCGGGCCCTCGCATCCATACATGAAGATACTGCTAGATCAAAGTGCAGTTTAACACATGAATCATCTGTAAAAGGAAAGAGGCAAAGTGAGTTGTTACACTTCTCACCCACTCCAGCAAGACGACGACATTCTGACGACGAGCTGAAACATAGATCAAGCGCAGCAACAGTGTCTAGTCAGAGTCCTACAACCTACAACCTTACAGTCTTGGGCAATTCAAAAAGCTACTTTCATTTGGTATCTTTGGAAAACTCGAGAACTTTCGTCTCCTCAAACTTGTAGGTCGAACCATTAAAACAACTGTGCTAAAAATTTTGACTATTGTGCTATAAATCGGTGCATTTTCGCTCAACTTAAAGTTAAATTTAGTTTGAAATCATTCATTTGATATCATTTATGATCGGAGGAGCGTAAATGCGGTAAACTAAAGCTTATTTACAATCAAAGTAGCGTTGCGAAACCCTAACCTAGAAAGAAATAATATAATACTCGCAGATTATAGATCTGAGCCTATCGATAGCCTTAAATACTCTCTGCAGTTAAAAACCGTTAAATCAGACTCAAATTCATCAAACTGTAAATGGCGCACGCTCTAGTCTCGGTTGAGCCTTACGGCAGAATGGATGCAGAAGATTTCGCGCAGTTCGAACAACTCTTTAATGGATTCTTTAGAGTTGCAGCGATACCAGCAGGCCAAGATGCGAATTTCTTACAAGTCCACTTGCGAGGCGACGCACTACGATTTTATCAAACGCTAGACGCCACAACAAGCGAATGCAGCTAACAGCCTCCCAGCGATACGTGACCATTCCAGTAACCCACAACTTCGAGGAGTCCATGTCTTGAAGCTCGAACAAATAAAATTCGATGCGAAGAAAGTTACACCCGAAAATTTTACAGAAAAAGCACTCAGATCTTACCCGACAACTGAAATAGCGGTTCCCGACCCAATTGATCAAGTAGAAGCTGATGCCGCAATAGAAGCAGCAAGGCTTGTCAGAGAAACAGCGCAGTGACAACAACGACTGCATTCAGTTAGAGATAACCGAAACGAATAAGTTCGAGGACTTTTTATCAAGGCAATGCCAGGATGGCTTTGCGGAAAGCTCATGGAACGACCTGCAATCGAACCTGTTCAAGATCTTTGTACATATGTCAGACAGCAAATGACAATTCGTGATATGTTTCGAAAAAAAGATTATCTGGAAGATGGATTTAATGAAGTCAGCGAAACAGTTTCTGATAACCTCATCAAGCACTGTCTTACTCACCGCAACACAAGAAGTAATGGGGAAGCAGATAAATGAAATGAAGACACAAATGAATGATCGAAATCGCTAGGAAGCTTCGACGTCGGCCCAACCATCAAGAAATCAGCATCAACAAAATCAGTTCGGAAATAATTATCGTGGTTATCAACAAGGATATTGAGTAAACAGATTTCCCGCCACAGCGACAGCCAAATCCGAACCAGTCAAACCGAGGAAATCAACCTTTCAGAGGACAATATCCTCTGCCAAATAGTTTTAGATCCGGTTACAGGAAGAGGAGGACGCTTCCGAAACCCTTATCCAGCATACCAGGGGTACCAACAGTATAGGAACCAACCGCCATTCGCTAACCAGAACCAACAGCAGTGGAACCAACAACCATTCCCTAAACAAAACTACCAATTTCGTCAACCAAATACCTATCAGCCACAGCAAGCTGAATACCAAAAGTTACCGAGTGTTGAAGTCCAAAACCCAAATACCCCTTATATGCCAGTAACCCAAGCGACGCGTGTTCTCTGCGAAACATGCGGTTACCCCAATCATATGGCCAGTCAATGCCATATGCGTCAAAAACCCCCAGGAAAGGGACTATCTCTCCCATTCCAGCACCAACCAAAAAACTTCTAATGCGACCGAGTCATGGGTCAGGAATTGAAACCGAAATAAACGATAAAAACAAAATCGAACATAACAAAATGCTGCCAAAAACCGCAGAAACAGAAATATAGAAAACCCAAAACAGGAAAAATTTTATCCTATCAACAGAAACAAGGAAAACCCAGCGAACAAATGTTACCTCAAGAAATCCTTGATTTATATGCAGTTATCCCGGAATCCGACAAAACCCTTTCATATGTCAAATTGCAATTGAAATATCCCAGGAAACTTTCAACGATCTTACCACCAATAAAGCATTATTTGAACGGATCCAAACCCAAAAATCAAAACTGAAGTGAGTACGCATTGCAGGAGGACAACTCGTACCAACAGAAATTGAAGCGACAATAACCTTCCGGATTGAAGCAATGAGCTTTAGAGAAAGTTTTTTTGTTCTACTTACAACAAACTCGATGATACTCGCAAATTGTTTCTACAAAAAACACGACGTTCAAATTTGTCCGAAATACGATCTTCTTAAGTTTCCGAATTTAACATTTCAAATCAACGAAATCAAAACAACAACTTCCAAGCGACACAAATAAACGACGCTCCATATAACCGTTATTCTTTCAAAGAAAGACGTTATCCCCCCAAATAAAACAATACTTCTGGAATATTTCACCGAATCAGATATCAAAAATACTATCGGAACAGTCATCCCCAATTCCGAGTTTGAAGATGAGTAAACGTAGCGCTGATGTCCTCAATCAATGAGACAACATGAGATAGTAAATTGTACATTCCCGCACTTAATCACCCGATTACATTGTTGCATAAGAGCAAAATCGCTACATTCACAGTCCTTAAATTGACCGATATAGAACAATATGTCCCGATTGACTTACAAACCTTAGCATGAAAAAAAATGAGCAACATAGACAATCTAAAACATTAAATCAATCAGCTTATTCAAGTGAATCAATCGGATAACATGAAAGCAATCAAACCTGCTCCTAAATATGAAAAGTTCTGGTTTCCAACACCGGAAACATGTGAAAATCCAACCTTTCTTTCACTAATTCAAAGGGAAACTTATGATCAAGAAACCTATCTTAAAAGTCTTGAACTTTGTGAACCGAAATCGAATGACCATGATAGATTGACATTTTTACACCAATTCAACTCGGAAAATTCTATATTGACAAATGATCAAAGGTTAAAAAAGGAATGTTTACCCGTCGAATTATCCGATATATTTGCTAAACACCGATTCGATATCGGATATAACTCCGAGTTACAAATCTAACTTACACCGGAGCATCAATGACCACTGTATACCCAAGGTCCACCCACACCAATCCATCTGAGGAAGGAATTAACACTCGAGTTGGCTCTAATGCATTACTTTGGTCTAATAACAACGTTATCACAGTCAAAGTATAGTAGTTCGCTATTTGCTCACCGAAAACCATCAGGCAAACTTCGTATGCTTATTGATTTAAGAAGAATCAACCATTCGCTCAAAAATGACTATTTAAATACGAACTTTCCAATATCAAATATGACAGATGCCTCAAATCAATTCGCTGGAAAGAAACTGTTTACAAAACTTGATTGTTCACAGGCGTTTCATTTTGTGCAAATGGCGGATGACATATCAGTCCAATTTCTGACATTTAACTTTTCATCTCGAAATTATGCATACAAATGTCTAGCTCAAGGTCTAAACAAGTCATTAACAGGTTATAGTTCATTCATCCGTCATTACTTAGAGCCATGCTTGGCAGCGGATATGTGTACACAATTCATGGATGATATAGGAAGTGCAGTGCACTCATTTGATGAACTAATACCGACCTTGTCAAAAAAATTTGAATGTGTCAGAAAATCAGGATTAAAACTATTACCACGAAAATGCGAAATAGGTACGGACAAAATGAAACTCTTAGGAAATATAGTAACAACAGCAGGAGTTTCGCCAGAGGAAGCGAAACTTCTTTCTTTTTTCAATTTTATGTATAGATAAAAAGGGTTCGTCTTTTGATATATCGGCGTAGTCGACTCATATTGCGTCGTTTGATGGCTGAGAAATGTTTCTAATACCAGTATGTGGGACTTGGAATTTTGACTATCAAAGTGTTTTATTGATAGCAATTTTTCCGGCCCAAATGTCCTTCGAGTCTGTTCGATTATTTTCGACCGACTTGCCGCTGCTTGCGTTTTCCGGTGCTAATTCAACACTTGGAATCGTCTTATTTTTGTGTGCTTGCTTTTCGTGCTATGTTTGTGTTGTATAGCTTCGCCTTCGTATAAAAAACTTTTTTCTCTGTATTTTTTAAATATCATTGTGTGCTAGCAATTTTCCAACTATTTAGTAGCCATTGCTGTTATTAACAGTCTTTGTCACATCTAAGAGCAAGTTTTTTATATCTGACTCCTCATTTCAGCTCCGATATCTTGAAATCTTTTGGACCGAAGTATATCGAAGTTGTCATGAACCAGAGTGGCAAGTATTTGGAACGCGTAGAGCTCCTCTCCAATCTTTTCATGGACATTGCTGCTGGATGCGAAGCAGATGAATTGACCTTGAACCTTCTCGACAGCATGTTACGAGAATCAGTCAATTGTCACAACGTCAACTTAATGCGATTCTGTGATATTATTTTGGAACAATGTGGTCTCATTAAAAGTGAAACGAAAGTCAAACCACGTCAAAATCTGACAGGTCTATTGAAAGCATTGGCCCATATTGTGAAGCAAGATTATTTCAATCGTAATATGCGATTAGTACTGAGAACATTTTTTGATCGTTTGGATTTTAGTGAAGAGCAATCGAAATTAATGCAAGTTCTGTATTCTTCTTGAAGTCTTTTTGTGCCTGTACGAGTGCTTAGTGGCAGCTTTTATTTCATTCTTTCTTTTTGAAATCTAAAGTATAATTTTGAAATCTAACAATTGTTTTTGTTGTATCTATTATATTTATGCGCATAGTTGGTAACATTCAACTCCAAGCTTGATCCAGCTGGTTATGAAGCATTGTTGATTCTTTGGCTGTTGTAACATATAATTCATTCGTCTTTAAAAAAATCAACTCACAAATGTAGATCAATAAATTTACGTTAAGATCAACAATATTACTCGCTTTAATTCACAAGATTAGTTGTCGGTTTTTCGAGTGTCAGTTGAGCCTGTTATTGATTATTTGTAGCTTTTTCAGAGGACCGAATGTCTTTAACTAAGTACTGGTCCTAAGAAGAAGACCAAAGAAATGAAGCCGGGCTTAAATCACAGCATAAATCGTTGAAACCTGCCTTTGTCAGCTCATTATCTTTAGATAGTGTTCATTATGTCTTGCTTGCCATCCTGCCGCCTGATCTTCATCGTAGTAACTATACTCCAACATGTTTTGCCATCTTCAAGTCTTACCAAATCCAAAGAGGATCTCAGAGCTGAGGTCTTGGAAATGATTCACCATGCCTATGACAATTACATGAACCATGCCTATCCTGGAGACGAGTTAATGCCGCTTAGTTGTTCGGGAAGAGTACGAGGTTCGACCTCGAGTCGCGGTGACATTGACGACTCGCTTGGAAACTTCGCGTTGACCTTAGTAGACTCACTAGATACACTTGCGGTCATCGGAGATATTGACCGATTCGAAAAGGCAGTGCACAAAGTCATCACAGAGGTCAAATTTGACTCTAATTTGGTCGTTTCTGTTTTCGAAACTAACATCAGAATATTGGGAGGACTAATAGGAGGTCATGTAATGTCGAAGTTGATGAAACATGAAAATGTGGGGATGCAATGGTATAAAGATGAACTACTTTATATGGCTATTGATATTGCGAATAGGTTGCTGCCTGCTTTCAACACGACAACAGGAGTTCCTCATTCAAGAGTAAATTTGAAGTACGGTTTTCATCATCCAAAAGCCGCGGTTAGAGATGATGGCACAACCTGCACTGCTTGTGCTGGAACGTTTTTAGTCGAGTTCGGAGCACTGAGCCGACTGATGGGAGATTCGGTCTACGAGAATAAAGCACGAGAAGCGGTCGATTACATTTGGTCTAAACGAAGCATGACATCTGATTTAGTGGGAACCATAATGAACATCAAGACTGGAGAGTGGATCAAAAAGACTTCAGGTCTCGGAGCAGGAATCGACTCGTACTATGAGTACATTTTCAAAGCGTATGTTTTACTCGGAGATACTTCTTTTTTGGATAGATTCAACAAGCATTACAAAGCGATCAAGAAATACATACACGATGGGCCGCTATTACTTAATGTTAATATGCAAAAACCAGACATAATTTCAAGGTCGCATGTCGATGCGCTGAGCGCATTTTGGCCAGCAATCCAGGTCATGAAAGGTGACCTTAAATCTGCTATTGGAGTGCATGAAATCTTTTATCAAGTCGTAAAGCTGCACAAGTTTCTACCCGAGGCTTTCAACTCAGATTTCAAATTGGTCTGGAATCATCATCCAATTAGACCAGAGTTTGTAGAAAGTACTTACTTTTTGTATAGAGCAACTGGCGATTCGCACTACTTAGATGTAGCAGAATATATGATACAAGCAATTCAGAATTTCACACGTGTGCCCTGTGGCTTCGCGGCCATTTCGAATGTGAAAACAGGAGTCAAAGAAGACAGGTTCGACTCATTTGTTCTTGCCGAGACTTTCAAGTATCTCTACTTAATTTTCACAGACGACGACCAGCTGTGGTTTAACGTGGATGATTTCATTTTCACCACAGAAGCACACTTGGTTCCAATGAACTGGAAGGCACCCTATTTGGCCAATAATTCAACGTCTCGTTTTCAGAAGTCTCACAATTCGAGGTCAAGCGGACCTGTACTCCCAGGAGCGAGAGTAGAAAACGAGGAGATTAGTTTGGACAATACCTGTCATAACTACAATTTCATGAATAACCCGTTTTATGCTTTCAACGTCCGCAAATCGTTTTCAGGATTTGTTGGACGTGACAAAACGTTGACCAACATAGATCCGATGTGTATACAGCCGCAAGTTATCCAAGCCAACACAAAGACACATCAGCTGAATTTCAGACCTACAAGCATGCCGAAGGTTCAGATCATAAAGTCTGACAATATGAAGCCGACTCCAATCGATTTCGTGCCTCTCGCGGCTCGTGATTTTGACTCCACAAAGTCAGCGCATTACGAGACACTTCGCATGATGGGAATCGAAGTTATGGCCGACACTGATGGGAATCTGCAACTAAGACACACATATCAAAACGCATACAATCCCTCATTAGCGCAGCTGGGATTGAACTTCATAGCTGAAGCATGGAAAATCAACGAAGAGGCAAAAACTGGTCCAAAAGAGGCTATCGTTCAAATTCTGTCGGCGCCTTACCACGGATCAATGTTTTTCAAAGTGGGATCTGCCCTTTTCGGTTATAATTTAGCGGAAGAAAAAGAAATTGCGAGTTACGTAATGATCGCCAAACCTTTTGATGCGTGCTCAATTGCCGATGGACATAACGTAGAAGGCTATATTGTGCTAGCCTTGAGAGGAAACTGTCTTTTTGCTGAAAAAGCCCGAACTGTAGAGGAGAAAGGAGGAATTGGACTGATAGTAATTGACAGTGTAGAGTCCACCAGTGTCTTAACCCACGAATTGTTCACGATGTCTGCCGATACCAATCCAGATCCAATAAACATTCCAGCTGTTTTTGTTTTACAAAAGGAGGGTCTCGCTTTACTTGCACTGCTTATAAACGAAGGACCTCTTTACGTGCGATTAGCTATACAAGCTGAATACTACCAAGTCCTGTCTCAGTTTTATGAGCTAGATGGTTCCTTCGATACTTTCACAGACTTGCAGCAGTTGCATTTGTATGCTCAGAGTGCACTCGGAGACGACTTGGCGGTGCAGCATTTCGAAGCCAGTGCCGAGGTAGTGCAATCAATAAAAGCGCCTGCAGGTTCTGATATCCTGGACGAAAAAGCAGATGTATTGGAACCTTCAGTGACAAGCGATGTTGACAACGATCCATCCATTAGTCAATACCCAGCAGGAATTGAGACTCCCCTAGAAGATGATGAAGATAATGAGAACGAAGAAAAATCTGCCGGGACAAGGAAATCTGCAATCCTTGTAAAACCGTATATTCCCGGCGAAATTCCGATGACCGGAAGTAGTATGGAAAATGACCCCTCATTAACGCCTGTTCCGTTTGCAGTTGCCAAATCTCTTATCACAAAACATATTATAATCGAGGGTGAGAATGTGCCAACAGAACAGGAAATGTCAGAGTCAAATTTGAAAGACCCATTGGCGGCTGTATTTTACAGCCAAATTCCGACACTAGGGATGAAAGTGACATGGTTTTCAATATCAGGGTCATCAGCCGTTACGCTCTTAGATCACATCCAGCGTGAACACAAAACGATAGTGAGGAGCTTCAGAAATCAGAAGTTTACGAAGATCAAGATTGATAGAATGGATAACGGAGTTGCTCGGTTGACAGGAATTGCCAATTTGGACCCAAAAAATGAATCTAGTGACCAAACGTTAAACTACGACCAGGATAAAGTTTTAGCTGAACTTATGGGCGAAATAGTCGAATCAGTAAATGTGGATATTTTCACCTCCAAAGTCACAGTGAACTAATTTGCTAACCAAGTTTGATGAAATTGTTGACGATGAAAAAGCTGTAGTGCAAATTAGTTGTTTATGAGAGCCTTTATTTTGGTTAGTAAATAATATGTACTAAGAAAAAGGGGTTAACTATTTAACAGAGAGTAGCTATGTTATTACATGAACTGGTATGACAGGAGACGCACTTGCATTAGTTTAGTAGACAACTGTTTAGGCTTATTTTCAACGCCTATGCAGTTACTCATTTCGGGGGTGTGCAATAGTAAATAACAATTGACGTGTGGTATTATCGCCAGATTTTTAATCTATGTAAAGAAAGGCCATTTAATGTGAATATTTGAAAAGTATTTATCTGCCTTTTATTGAATTTTCTCTGAAATTAATTTTTCATTTTCAGTTTTTATTTTTGAAAATAAGCTCGGATAAATAGCAGTGGTTTCCATTAAAACTATTGGCTTAAGAATAAGTACAAGCAATTAGATAAAAAATGTTTTGTAAAACTGAATCAATCTAGAATCATTTGGTTAGCAGAAATAGCTGGTTGCTTACTAATAAACCAGAAAAAAATTTTGACAACATAACGTTGAAAAATATTCTTGATTTGTTTTCTCCATTGTATAGTTTTTTCTTCATCTTAGTTTTAAGATTTGGGCGTAGTTGTTTGCTAGATTACATACATGGGAGGGTTTAGGGGGGGGGGCTTTGGGAGAGCTCGGAAATTAGTGCCTTGGGAGAGCTCGGAAAATTAAAAGGTCGACAAGGTTCTGAAGCACAGGTCTAGAGGTAACGCAATGCATGAGGTGACAAAGGGTTCGATTCCTGCTCGGAGCCAATTTTTCAAAGCAGAAAATTTTCTCAATAATAAAGCAATTTTTTGTAATTGAAGATCATCGTAGTTTATTCGGTCGCGGTTGGAGGGGTCCCAGAGTCATTCGCCTCCTCAAGGTGGGACTGGCTACAGCGAAATGCATGAAATTTCTCTCCGTCACAGAAAAAAGGACCGAGGTAGATCAGTGGAAGTTGTGACGGGGCTAATAAAAAATAGGATTTGTTCCTGTAATTTTTAATTTACCCCCTTTGAATCTGTATAATTCTTTTCGCTTTGAAGTTTTCTGAGCCTTTTACGGTTGCGGCTAATGTTAAATTGGTTTAGTTGGCTCATAACCCGTGGTTTGAAGGAGAAAAGTATGAGTTTCTGCGTTTGTGCTTTAATAGGGGGGAATAGTTCAAACCATGTTATAGCTCGAAATTTTGTCTGCTGAAGTTTTTCCTTTCTCCTACACCTCTAATGAGCATCGGCTTATTCATGTAAGGCGTGGTTTTACAAGGTTACGTATGATGATCAAATTTATATAGTCATGGTTCAATTAGTCCTAGAAAATGAATTAAGCTAACTCATTTTCTTTGTTAAAAAGAAGGCAAACTCCGTCTTGTGCAGTAAAAAACGTAGAGGTCACAAGAAACTTGATCTACTTCTAATTTCGAAAGTCGCTTTTTTTTCACAGCGGAATAAAAAATTACTTACTGATCCAGTTTTCACAAATTTGCGTGAATCTTATCAAAAAAGTGTCAATCATAATTTGCTCTCGATTTTTGAAGAGCTTTATTGGCATATAATTTTTTCTTTTTACCTTGACGTTTTTTCAAATTAAGTTGATATGTTTTTCTGTTTTCTTGCGTTCATTGTCACTTTTTCAACTATCTATTGGCTAAGTTACCGGACAAAATAAAGAAGCACCTGATATCTGACCCTCCGAAGAGTCTCAGATGAGATCTGGTTACTGCTCACTACTGAACACGGTTACAGCTGCGCTTCGGCTTTGTTGAAATCCTGAAATTCTGTCATCAAAGTCCGCCAAGGACATAATTTCTTTAACCCGAAAGAGTAAGTTGGACTATGACCAGACTTTATTCAGCCAATTAATCTCCTACTTTTCCAGTATTGAATGAAGTCAATACGCGCAAGGTAAGCAGAATATAATTCCTGCTCAGCTGATTGTCTTCACGCAGTCTTTGACAAGTGTTTTTCGGAGACGTTGGGTATTCAAAAGTCCAATTTACGGTGGACGAAAACATGAATTCTAAAGAATATTATCAGCTCTGCTCAGCGTTTAGCATTTTGCTTGTCGACGCTAAAATATTCAAAATATCGAAGCTCTACAAAAAACGTTAAGGTCACGAAAAACGTGATCGACTTCTAATTTCGAAAATGGAAATTAAATATCAGATTTCCCAGCCAAATAAAAGTTCTACTTACTGATTCAGTTTTCTCAAATTGGGTTAATTTTATCAAAAAAGTGCCAATCATGCATTGTTCTAAAAATTCAAAGAGCTTCAAAGGCTTCAATTTTTTCTTTGAAATTCAAAAGTTCAGGTTTTTTTTTTCCAAAAACCAGCCAATATTTTTTTTGTTTAGTTGCTTTCATTGACTGGTTTCCAACTGAACTGTCTTGTCTGTTGACAATGTTTTTTTTTTCAACGCAAAATCAGGTACCACAAATAATCGACGGAAGGGGTCGAGTGATATATTATATTAAAGCTTTTATAGTCGTGATTCGATTTCTATTGAGAAAGTGTAAATAAAAACCGGTATAATTTTTTTTTTGTTTACACATGCGAAAGCAAATGTCTTGTGATCGGGAACTTGACTTTTTTCCCTTAAACAAATACTTTACGTCTGAAGTTGAAATTGAATTTACTTTATTACTAAAGCTTCGCAACTCCGAGACTTTTTTCCAATTGGCATAGAGGTAACGCTATGGTCAGAGGTACGAGTCGCGGCCGGAACTTGTTTTTTTTCCAGCATGCATGCAAATGAATTTTTTCAGTAAAAATTGATTTTCAGACGTTCGTTTATCTGCTCAAATTTTGTGATGTGGCTTCGCTTCACTTTTGTTTTTTCAAAAATAACTTTTCCAAATCTGAGTTTGTGGGTTCAATGGAGATAACGGGTAGTGGAAAGCTCTCTTACATTAGCGGCCACTCACAATTTTTCGTACACTAAATTATCGCCCTCCGAAAATTCAAACTTGAAATGTATTGACCGTTTTTTTAAACTATTTGAATTGTCTGGAAAACTGCACTCCCTTATTTTATACTTTGGGTTCAATCCACTGAATGGATTGGGGGAAGCTACGTTGCATAGGAGACTGTCCTAATTTTTTGACAGAAAAAGTTATCGCCCTTTGAAAAAACTAATTTTGATTTTTAGTTTGTCTTTTGAAACTTTTTCTTACTTTTCTCGAACTATTCTCCCAAATCTGAGTTATGGGTGCAATTGGAAGTACAGGGTGCGTGAATCTGTTCTGCATAATCGGCTAAAAATACTCCCCCCATAAAGTGAGCGAGCAGGCTTATAAATGGAGGTAAGAAGTTTACTTTAGTAATACTAGTGTTTCACCTTGAAAATACCCTTGCGATAAGCAAAGGCATTGCAATCGGGTACTATTTTTCCCCGTAAATAATTTTGTTCACTGGAGTCTTTTCATCTGGGCACATTTCGTATAAGCCTCTATTAGCAATATTTTTAGCGCAACAAATTTATATTGCGCTTGTTGACATTTTAAATATCTGTCCAGCTCTAAATTTTGTTTTGATGTTGGTTGCACTTTTACCAGCTCGATTTGTTAAAACTTCTTTTTTACTTTTACTTTTTGGTTTTTTCCCTCTTTTTGTGGCTCAACAGCTTTTGACCTATATTATATCGGCTTAGTGGCGTCTTATGGTTTCATTGACGAGCGAATAAAGTAAATTTGTGCGTGTAAGGTTGTGTTTTTAGAGTGAGGGAGACTTATTTTCTATAAATTTTGTTGAATTTTCTTCTGGCTTGTTGGGTTTCTGCCAAGGTAATTTCGGCTTTGTTACTGCTTGGTAAGTTTTCTTTCGATGCTAATTTTACATTCTATAGTCTTGACATGTTTTTTTTTTTACAAAACTAGACTTATTCATTTGATAGATTTAGTTTTTTTTTTATTTGCGGCTTTTTGTTTTTTATCGCAAATGATGCGAAGCGCAGCTTCGCCTCTGTTTGTGCTTTTTTGCGCCTTCTTGACAACAAAAAAGCCTAAAAATAACCAAAACAAAACCAGCAAAAATGTAATCAATAAATTTTTTGATAACCATTTTCAAATATGTGCATTCTACTCTTACTACCTTATTTACTTATTTTCTAGGCTTTCGTTCAGATCTGCTTATAGCCGAAGAACAAAATACATCACAAATTGTAAAATAAGATTTTTTGGTTGGAATTTTCTGTGCTACTTGCACAGCAATCGGCTATCCTTGTTTTGTAATTGCGCACGTTTGCGGATACAAATATCAAATTTTTATGAAAAATTAATAAACATTTCCAGCACTAATGAAGGATAATTTAACCATCCTTTTTAATTTTTTTAATTGGCCCCCGGCCTGCTCAGTGGAGAACCAACCGTGGGGGAGGGTTTAACCATCCTCTTTTCTCCGTCATATTTCAGCAAAAACCTTGACGAATTTTTCTGAACATCGAAAAAAAATCACTACAATTATCTTTTCGGAATGCTATTCATGACTGAATGTACTTGAGTGGAGTACACACTGGATACTCTGCCAGTTTTCTGCTGCGGTTTAGCTAAAATCTTTCAAAAAAAATCAAAAAACAAAATTCAGTAGGCTTTAGAGATCAAGAGAAACCTAGTTATCTGGTGAGTGGATATTTCCAGAAGTCATGTCGTTTTTTTGATGACTGCAATCCAATACGATGTAATTGTAATTGGAGGCGGTATTGCCGGAGTTACGTGTGTCGAATCCTTGCTTCTCCTAAACCCAAACATATCAGTTGCACTTATCAGCTGCACACCTTGTGTGAAATGCACCACAAATATTGTCGCTCTTGGACACTTAATGGAAAAGTTTGATGTCATAGAACAAGATGAAAGCGAATTTATTCAACGGTTTCCAACTGTCAAATTTATTCACGGAGAAGCAGTTCGGTTTTACAGTGAGAAACATGAAGTAGAGTATCGGAGAGTTCCCAGTTCTCCAGATGAATCAGTTGATGTTTCGACAATGGTCTATAAAAAGTTATGCGTTTGCACGGGAGGAGAACCGAATGTCGTTGCACCCAATCTTGACTCAGGTTGGTTTCAATATATAAAATTTTTAAGCTTTTCTCGTGGAATACAAGCGTGAAGCGTTTTTGGCCTGTTTTTTCAAAGATTTGGCTTCGGCGCGGAAATTTTGTTCAAAACAAGGTCTCTTTAGTGCTCTGGGATAGGTCAAAAAAATCAATTTGGTTGACCAAAAAAAAGGTAGATAAAATTTTCGTTTTTTTTTTTGAAATTCCACCCCCCCCCCCCCCGAGTTGTTTTCTGAGTTCGACGAGCAAATGAACAGTTTTTGACACGTTTTTGTCGTTCTTTTTTCACGTTTTGTCGAGTTTTAAATTTTAGATGAAACTAAATGGAAGGACTTAGCCGGGTCGAAAATTGAGACAAAAAAAATCAATGGCGTAAATTAGCCAGTATATCATAACTAGTTTTAGAGGTGTTTTGCTGAGGAAACATCCTGGCAAATAATATAAGGAATTTGAACTTAGGGGCTCAGTTTTGTTCTATGGGAAGCGGATGAGCTTGACTGACTCTTTATCCCGCCGAAAAATAACAGACAGGATTGAAAGAGTTAATTCGTCCGGCGTTGAAAAACGGTCATATCTGTTTTGACGACACCGACCATAAAAGTTGCCTTTCTGGTTCAAAGAAACCAATCAATTGCCTTTCTTTGAATAGCTGCGAGCTATGTTCGGATTTTTTTTCTATTGTAATGGAGTCTCTAAATAATCTGCCCAAAATATAGTTATTGTTTCAGTGATTTCAATTCGCGACACCGATAGTGTGCAAATCCTCCAGGAAAAATTGCGCAAGGCGAAACACGTGGCAGTTCTGGGCAACGGAGGAATAGCGAACGAGTTCATCTGCGAAGTAGAAGATTGTGACGTCACATGGATCATTAAAGATAACTTCATTAACAGTGCCTTTCTGGATCCAGGGGCGTCTGAGTTTTTGATTAACCAGATCAAAACAGTCAAGCCGAAAGGCGAACAAAAGTACTTGAAGAGATGGCAATATGAAAGCAACAGTAAAAGTTCAGTAGACGCAACTAAATTAGAAGAAAAAACAGGTCCAGCTTTAGGTCCCGATTGGCATAAAAATTTAGATTTAAAAGGCCTTGGGTCGAAAGAAAATGTAAATATACAATACAGTACTACGATTCAGTCGATTGAAGAAACGAGTGATTCCTCGAGCAATAAAAAAGAGCTAAAAATTGTTTTGACAAACGGCCATGAGTTCGGTTGTGACTTTCTAGTAAGCGCAACTGGTGTAAACCCGGCTACTGGTTTTTTCGAGGGTCAAAAAGTCAAACTAGGTGAAGATAGTGGAATCGAAGTGAATGAATCATTTGAAACAAGCATTGCAGATGTCTACGCAGCTGGCGATTGCTGCACACCTGGTTGGGAAATAGCTCCTCATTGGGTGCACATGCGGCTATGGACTCAAGCGAAGCAGATGGGAACTTGTGTTGCTCGAAGTATAACGGCGTGTCTGCAGAATGAACCCAAGTTACCGCTTGACATTTGCTTTGAGGTGTTCACGCATGTCACCACATTTTTCGGCTATAAAGTCATTATGCTTGGAAACTTTAACGCAAAAGGCTTGGATAAAAATAAATGCGAAATTTTGTTCAGATGTACGAAAAATATGGAATATATAAAAGTTATTTTACACGAGGACAAATTGTGTGGTGCTATTTTGATCGGAGAGACTGATTACGAAGAGACCTTTGAGAACTTGATTCTGAATCAGTTTGATTTGGGTTTCATCAAAGATGGTCTATTAGATCCAGATGTAGATATTGAAGATTATTTTGATTACTTGTTTTCCTGTTAGATTGAGAGATCTTTAGGCGATTTGATCTTTGGGCAAATGACTGGGACTGGTTAAATCAAGTTGTAATCATAGGGTCAAATAAATTTGATTCTTTTTGACCTTGTCAATGCGACTTAAAACTTCATCAATTATCATTTTTTTTTCTTCGAATTTTTACCGGAGTTTGTGTTACTATACGAGGCGGAATTTTCCTAGCCAAAATAGCATACTTCCGTACTAAATATCATGTTATATGTCTTTTTACAGCTCAGAGATGCGGTTCAATTTGTGGAAATATTTCTTGTCAAACGAAACTAAACGAAGTCATTTGAGCTAAAACTGCTCATCCTGACGTCGGAAAGCCAATTTTTGCTCGATTCGAAAAACGCGCTTTTTTCCAGGTTCAACTCTTTGACACTTCCTGAAGTTAAATTTATTGCTCCTTCGTGTTAACGATTCCTAACAAATTACAAAAATTGCTCACCATATTTCTGGGATTTTTCAGGAAATAGTTGTTCTCTCTTAATTTTGATTTCGCGGTTCGAGTTTGCATTAATTGTTTTAGCTCAATTTCATTACGCTCTCCAATGAAGTGAAAATCTCGCGAAAAAAGAAGGGTTTCAAAATGGGACTAATTTTCAGCATGCATCCAACTTTTTGATCCCCGGCGATGTATTTAATTTCCAAACACTTTGGTACTAGTTGACTTTAGTGAGCAGGGTTGGCAAATTGTATGTTATTTTTGAAATTAACAAACTAACAGTTATTTATTTAAAAAAATGTTATTCATGTTAATTTGTTAGATACTTCAGCACATCAAGACCCATTAAGTTTCAAGACCCATTAAGTTTCTGTTATTACGCTAGCGATTTGCAAGCGTTATCAAACAGGAGTATAGTTTTTTTCGGGTTAACAGCTAGTTGAACAAAATTAGTTGAATCAGTTAGCTTGGCTGTTCTGAAAGCAACAGAACAGAATGCCTGTCAGCAGATTTTTTTGAGCATGTCAGCTTTTGAAATGGCTTTTTCTTTCGAACTTTTTTTGTTGTTTGTAAATCAACTCTTGTTCTTAGTTTTTTTTTCCGCTCTTTTTTCACTTAAAAGGATTTTTTCGGCTCAAATGGTTTCGGCTGATCCATCTCTGTTTAGTAGTCGTTTGAAGCACCAAAGTTTTTGAATGGCTTTTGTGCTCACAAAAAGCATATGAGGGTAAAACGTAAGGTTTTTTTTCAACTCAATATGTTTGATATCTCAATATTGATTTTTTTTCGGCTCAACAGTCAGTCGTCTTCTACCCTTATTTTGTCTGCTCAGTATCCGTTTAATGACAATGTTTAATTTCTGATTTAAATCTGGCAGTTTTGCCTGTCAGTATTTTTTCCTAAATTTACCCGCATTTCAGACAAACGTTAAGAAAGTTTTCAAAACGTGAATTTTTTAAATGATGTTTCAACTTTTTTTTTCGACCCAATTTACGTCCTGTTTTTTTTTGGGCTAGCTTCCTAGCCTTTTTTGTTGCATAGCAAGTGGTGCGAAGCTCCGCTTTGCCTCTGTGTTCCATGGTATTACTACATGGTTGAATTATTTAACCCAGGCCAAGCAACAAAATTGGGAATTTAAAAGCGTCTTTTTTCAATTTGGGTTAACCTTAGACAAAAAGTCAAAAGGGCAAACATTGCTAAGAAGTAATATTTTTTATTTATTTACCAGAATTTATATCGTGCATTTTTTTTCATGGTTGAAAAAACTATCAGGTTGATTGTTGAAAAAAATTATCGAATAGAGAATTAGGTAACCAACAAAGCTAAATTTATAATCCCGAAAAAATTTGTTAAACATTAGTTTTTGAGAGAAAGAAATAGCATATTTTGTACTGAAATGGACTTTTTCAGCTCTAACTTTCATAAAACGTAGATGAATCTGAATGTTTAACACTTGCGAGAGCAAATGAGTTGTTATCGGAACTAAGCTTTTTTTCTGTTAAACAACTTTTACAAAGCTGTAAGAAATTGAGTTTGCTTTGTTTTTGAACCTTTATCACTTCTAGTCTCATCCCTACTTGGTACAGAGGTTGCTTTGGTTCAAGACTCGGTCGGATCATATTTTTCCAGCAGTTATGAAATTGGATTTTTTCACGGGAAAAGTTGAATTTGTCTGCTTGTTTTATGTTGTCGACTGTTGGCTCATCATGTATTTTTCTTTATGTCGACTTTGTTGTGTCATTGTGTACTTTTCCTTGAAGATAAAATGTAAATAAATTGATTCTGTAATTTGTAAATGTGTTAAGACTGACTGATTTTTTTTTCGCTCAAAAGCTTTATTCGGCCTACATAGAGTTTCAGCTAATATTTTAATGGATATGTCATTTTATTTGTCTTTTGAGGGAGATTTTCAAAAATAATTCGATTGCGGTGTAAAAATGAAAGTTTTGCTGAGCAAGATCTCCTGGGAATTTTGAAACTGATTGCCTTTTGTGCCGCACTCTCGTATCCTGTAAGACCTACAAAAACCTGCTTCAATATCTGTAAATTATCGGCAATTTAACAGATAATATAAAGAATAAGTAATATCTGAAACAATGGGTTAAACATATTTTGGTTAACATTTTTAGCAATACGGTTTCCAACAATCTCAAAAATCTAAAAACATTTTTGATGGCAAACTGACCTTAATCGGACAAACCAGTAGTTTTCAAGGCTTTTTGTCTAAGAAAATCTAATTTTAGCTTTTTCACTTTCGCGCTATAATGGCGTCATTAATTTAAGATTAATTTAAGCGCGAACATCTTCCGCGCCCAAAGAAGCGAAAACGGGTGCAAGTTTTACGGCCGGTCGAGTTAGCTCCCCGGAGCGGGTGGTAACTACGCTACGGCGGATCGGGCTATGTTGCCTTTTCCGTAATTAAGGGTTTCTATCCGAGCCAGAGGGTAGTGTCCCCTTGGGCTGCCTTCGTCAACAATCCACACTAAATCCCCTGTTTTTAAAATAACGTCACTATCGAAGTGCCACTTACTGCGTTTATTCAGCGCTGGCACATAATCTCGCAGCCAACGACTCCAAATTGCGTTGGCGTAGCTTTGCGCTCGGATATATTGCTTTCGGTGGTCGAAGTGCTCCTGGAAAGAGAGAGAAGGGAAGCTAGTACCATTTCGGCCTAACAAAAAATGATTAGGAGTTAACCCCTCGAAACCATTCGGACTTGCACCTACTGATGTTATAGGTCGAGCGTTCAGTGATTGTTCTACGAAACAGAAAGTTGTTTCAAGGACTTCGGGAGTGGGCTTTCTACTTCCTATTATTGCGTAGAATACCCTTTTAGAACACCGAACGAGACGTTCCCAAGAACCACCGTGATGCGGGGCTGCCGGGGGGTTAAATTTCCACTTAATACCCTTTTTCGCCAGCTCTGGGGGTGCTTGTCCGTTCCACGACTGAATACAATTTAAGATTTCTTTCTCGGCTCCCACAAAATTTGTGCCGTTATCAGACCAAATGACTGATGGAGTGCCGCGACGGGCAATGAATATTTCGATTCCCATTACACACGAACTCGTGTCCATGGATGAGACAATCTCAATATGTACAGCTCTTGTGGTCATACATGTAAAAAGGAAGCACCATCGTTTTTCGGAACTTCTCCTGGTTGAGACGTAAAAGGGTCCAAAATAATCAACACCACAGTTTGTGAAGGGAGGCTGGCGGTAACCAAGCCTTTCAACTGGAAGCTCTGCCATCATAGGTGTGACAGTTTTGGCTTTGCGCTTCCTAGATATAAGGCAGTGGACTTCAATGGAATTTAATAAAGAGCGAAGGTTCAAGATTGCGAACTCTAAGTGAATTACAGCTCGCAGATAGTCTAAGAACTGGTGCTGATAGCGACAATGAATATCACTTACGAACAATTTCACTAGAGTTTGCCTTCCATCAATGATTATGGTGTTTTGTGTCAGATTCAGTTTCAACTAGGCGGCTAATTCGCTCAGTTGAACGAATGAGGAATGCAGGACCCATAAACGGTGCATATTGTGCGATACGACTAGACTTTTTGACGGTTTTGTCACAGGACAGGAGTAAATATTCCGCTTCAAAAGATTCCTTTTGGGAAATCAACAAAAGTCGTTGTTTGGCGGTTTCTAATTCAACCGGATCGGTTATTTCCTTGACTTTAGTGCGGTAGTGCCGGTGTTTCGGACTAAGTCTGAGCATGAAGGCAACCACTCGCTGGAGTTTACGAAACGATCTGAAATCTTCCCATGCAAATAAAATGGGTTGTTTTTGTTTTTGTGCAACGTTTGAAAAATTAGAGATCTGTTCTAAACCTTCATTAGGGTCACAAGTGGGACTAGCCAGGCGGATTTTCTAACGTACTTCTATGCTCGGCTTGAAAGGCCACTCCCCACTTTTCAGCAAACTTGGCCCGTTTACCCAGCAGCTTGTTTTTAAGGACGCTGAGATTCCTCTTATTCCCGTGTCAGCAGGGTTGTCTCCACTTAAGACGTGAAACCACTGGTCTACGGTCGTACTTTCCAGAATCTCTCGAATCCGGTTTGCCACGAACGTGGGTTGCTTACTACCTGAGTTTAACCACTGGAGTACAGTGGTGCTGTCAGTCCACATGAACGTGTTTGACACAGGAATGGTTAGAGCTTTGAGGACATCTTCCTTCAAGCGGGTAGCGAGTAACGCGGCTTGCAGTTCAAGCTTCGGGATGGAAAGCGCTTTCATGGGCGCGACTCTTGCTTTTCCAAAGACGAAGGCAACTTGTGTTTTGAGTGAAGTTTTCACACGGGCGCGAAGAAAAGCTACAGCACAAAAAACTTCTTCTGAGCTGTCACCGAACATGTGTAACTCAACCCAATCGACTGGTGCGGAGAAGTAGCTGCGCTTTATACTCATTTTTCCTAGAGATGGCAAACCAGAGTGCCAGGCAAGAAATTTTGTCTTGATATCAACGGGTAGCTCATCATCCCATTGTTGGCCATGAATGCGCCAGATTTCTTTCAACAAAAATCGCGCTCTTACG